ACCTTAATAGTTCGGCGACAATGGGTTCTGGCAAGAGCCACACTCATCGAAGGCCCATCACGTGGTGTCAGTTTCGGGCCGGTGTATTCGCGGCGGGCGCGGGCTAGCGGTTGACGACCGTCATCAAACGACAACGCGGGCAGAAACTGCTCCGTCGAGCTGGAAGTTCGCCAACGGATACACTATTACACGGTATCGTAAAACACAAGAGTCATAAGAACCGCGTTGTCGTTTCGCTTCATGGCGAACCACAATTGCAACTTGAGCACCCAAACGCGCGCACAACGCAGGCAGCCATCAATGAGCTGCTGGGCACCGACTTTGAAACATACGTCATGACTGTCGTCTTGAGCCACGAAAGTGCAGCAAGCTTTCTGAGCGCGACGCCAGCACAGAGGCGCGACCTGATCGAGGCCTCCTTGGGCCTGTCGCTATTAGATCAATGCGAGCAGATAGCGAAGCTATCTCTCAAAGACATCGACGCCCAGTTGGCCAAGATTAAGGGCAAGCTAGACACGCAGGACTGGAAGATAAAGGACAATAAACGACGATTTGAAAATCTACAGAAAGAACACACAAAGCTCGAACGCGAGGCGCAGGAAGCAGTCACATCTTTCGAGGTAGCTATGCGAAACCATGAAAGGAAGGAAGACCAGACCCCCGATCCTGAGATGGGCTCTCGCGATAACATTGCGAGACTAGAGGATCAAATCGACACCGAGCAAGAGAACCTTCAGCGGCTGGAGATCTCCTGTGCCAGGATGCAAGAACAGAAGCCTGCCGAGCCGGCGCCGGTGCCGGCATCATGGCTAAGCCGGTTACAGCATCAACTAAGTCAAACCATCGAAGCTATGGCTGCGGCTCGGCCCAGGGGTCTGCGCAAGTTCTTTCACGTTGCAGAGACCTTCATTCTCCGCTTCTTGGTCCAGACCGTCAGGAGCCTCCGGCGCATATCCGGGGATCCAGATGACGCTTCTCCAGAGACCAGCAGCGCCCAAAGCCATGACCAAGAACTTCAAAAAGTGGCCGTTGAGAATATTCGCCGAGACCTTCAGAGAAGCAGGTCGCGGTTACAAAGTCTGAAGCACGAAAAAAGGCTTGCTATCGACCACGCCGTGACGATAAGCGAGCGTGCACAGCGCGCCATGCAGGCTCAAAAGAGAGTTCAAGCTTTGCAGCACCAGGTCACGATCAAGCAACAGAAGGCAGACACGTACAAACCCTTGGTAGAGAACGAACAATCATCTCTACACTCGCTGCGCTCGGAACGCGAAAGCCTAGCCAGCAAACATCAAGAACTGACCGCCGATCGCGAGCTCTTCGCCTTCTGGTCCTCCTCCATGGCGAAGCAAACCTCCCGCGCCTCGTCTTCCTCAAAAAAAAACTTGAAAAAAGCGCCCAACTTCCGCGAACACATCCTCACCAACTCCACCTCGGACCTCAACGCCCTCGTCACCGAGGCCCTAGCCGTCCTCTACCACGACACGCGCCACACGCACGGCCTGGCCACGGGCATGCTGCGGACCCTCTTCACCGACCCCGACGACCCCACCATCACCACCACCAGCACATCCCGCCCCGCCGACCGGGTGCTGGACCCCACCCTCGCGGTCAACCCCTCCCTCGCGTACCACAAGCGGTCCAGCGGCGAGCGCAAGCGCGTGCTCCTGGCGCTGTTCTTCGCGCTGCTGCAGCTGGCGCGCGCGCGCAGCGCCCACCGCGCCCACTACGTACTGGTCGACGAGGTGTTTGACAATCTGGATCGGGCCGGCCAGACGGCCGTGGTGCGGTGGTGCGATGTCATGTCGCGGGCTGGCGTGGTGGGGTGGATCGTGGTGATTACGCATAGCGCGTTTTTGGCGGAGAGGGATTTCAGTGCGCCTGGGGAGGAGGGGGGCAGGGCGTTGGTGGTGGGGGTGAGGATGGGGGAGAGGGGGACGGTGTTGGAGGTTGAGGGGCGGAGGGTTGGCGCGGGTTGATGCCGGGTTGGGGCGGCGGTTGGTTGTGGAAGTTCTGTCTGCTCAGGAGAGGTTGAATACCTTAGTCTAGTTGTTGGATGACAGCAACTCCCCACGCTCCCGCCCCCGGCAAACCAAGACTATTCAGAGGAACGCGTCGTAAGGGAGGCGCGGAATTGGAAGGGCGCCAGGAAATAGTGTTTGAACACGAGTGGGCAGGTGATACAAAGTAATGTAAGGTAGTGAGCCGATAGGGGAGCATCGCTTGTAGGGATATAACAGGGGAAGACCCCAATGCTTGACTTGCACAACTGCCTACCTCGGCACGAACTAACCCAACAGAATCAACAATGCTGTTAGTTATTTTGATCTTACCCGTTCCAAATTACCTAACGAGATTCGAGGATGATTGATAACGAGCTAGCGTTCAAACCACATGCAAGTGGACTTGCCTAGGCACCTTACATAGGTACCGTGTAGGTGTACTCAAGTGACCCAATTACCAACGGATCAGCAAAAGTGAGTGAGGGCTCCGCTTGAGCAACTGTACTGTGTAGGCGGGACTGGATGCGGAGCATATGAATAACCCAGTTTCTCCATCAGTTGTACCTGGCACATCTCAAAACAAGTCACCTTCAAGTTTTGCAGAAAAAAGATCATGGCACTAGGCGCTGTTCAGGGGCTCGCATCCGGGGCGACCACCACGCCGTCTAATCCTTGTCTGACGTCTTGGCACCGCTCAGGCAATCTCGGGATGCTCTCTCTGTTTTTGTGAGATTTCAGGCGTCAATGTTGTTGCGTCTCGATCTTGACTTCCTTCCCTTTGTTGTTTTGATCGTAGGATTGCACCTTGAACCGCAACCCGTCCACTCTTTTTCGTGCATCTCAGACAGTCATTACAGTCATTCCTTAAATCTACCACAGCCAAAATGGTGCTACCCAGCTGCTTTCTAACCATTCCGGCGCTGGCAACCACTGTTATCGACTCTGGTGGTTATCATGTCCCCGCCACTCTTGCCTACGCGCCGACGAACACCAACTATTTTGGTGCCACAGCGTGCGGGCTAAACTCCTGTCAGTCCCGTCCTTCCCATCGACTCTGAGAAGTTGCGAGAACTCGGGACTAACTACTGCTAATTACAGTGACCTCAACGACGTGGCCCGCATCAACGGCCAAATGCACCCTCCCTGCTTCGGTTTCAGGCAAGGCGTATTCCGTTACACCTGTTGTTTATGTTCCGCGAGCTACCCCCGGAGTTATCGATCTTTTCCAGAGACCCATGAGGGTTGATAACTACACTTGCGACCCGATCCCGGTAGCGAGCATGAATAACGGCAACTTCCAGTTCTCGTGCAAGAACTTGCGCGGGAAGGACATGGGCCAAGGCCACCACTCGATTAGCTGGATCTTGCCTGCGGCCGCAGGCGTAGCCATCAACACTTACGGCTTCATCGCCTACCAGCCGATCTCGACGCCGACGTATGTGGTCAATTCAGCCAAGGCGACGACAAATCTGGTTCCGACGACGAATGGGGTTACGACATACACGCGGTCCTTCACCGATACGAGTACAGTTCGCGTAACGGTTACCACCGGGACGACGACTTGTACCTACACTGTTAAGGCCACAGCAACGCCAGTCTCTGGCCGTCATCTCGCCCGCGCCGACAGCTCGAACATTCAGCTTGGTCCTCGGATTCCAGTTCGCCATGCTGGCGGCGCACATGTTCAACCCTACTCAGGTGCCGAACTGAAGGAACGGGCGGCGTCTGTTACCCCTGTCATCGGCAAACCAGACGTCACCTACCCGCCGTACGGAGTGACCACGATCTACGTCAAGAGCATCAGCACCTCCCTCTACACCATAACGACGTACTACACCTCCTATTGGGCTAGTCCAGTCATGACCACCACCATTCGGGTCAAGGCGACGGAGATCAAGACTGTCACTGCCACGGTGACCCCCACACCCACATCAACGCCCTGAGCCCGATGTGAGCCTTCGGGCCTCGGGGGCCCTGGACTCGTTGTTCTGGACGACGTTCACGGGGACAGGCACCATGGCAAGGGACACGGCTTGCAGTACCCCTGCGATCGGGAGGAGTGCTCACCACCAGAGCAATTGTCTTGGTTTTTATTTCTCTCTCTAATGAATATTTTAGTTATGTACTTCTGTACTCGTAGATTGGTTAGCATTCGGTTGGAGTATGTGATAGACTTCTTGAACCGTTACAATATAATTTTTGGCACGGTCCATCCCTCCCTGATGAGCTTGCCTCGAGGCATCTATGGAGCCAGGCTTCGCCTGTTCTACGTAATAATTTGTGGCAGAACATCACGCAACTGTTATCGAAGATGCCTAGGGGCCTGAGACTGCCTGCTTGGATGTCATCACCCATGCGGGTGGAGTCCGAAGTTAGAAGCCACCTGTAAAACAACCAATGTGTAACAGGCTCGAGAAGGCACTTGTAATGCTTAAAGAACTCGGTACCCAATAGGGTAGTCATGTAAAATATGGTCGTCTCGTTCGGATATATATGCTCCGTTCCTTTACCCTTTCTCCATTTTATAGGAAACTGGAGGTCCGGGGCATGTCAAGGCCGGAAAAATGATGAGAAAGGGAAGCATTGAATGTATTCCAGATTTGGAAAAAGAAGGAGGAGAGAGATTCTGAGAGAGTAAGCAAATATATCCTCGACGGCAACTCCGAATAACCTGTACCCACATAACTACTACCTTGTCGATATGTATTATGGATAGGTAAGGTTCCAAGGAATAAATGCTTGTTTCCTACGCCTGTGTGTGGTGTGCCCTAAAAGACTCGACAGATATACAAGGTATAACGGGTGACCCCCTACCACCAGCGGTGTGGAGAGATGGGGATAGGGTGGTTGTTGGCTTTCCCGAGGGATACACGACGGATGGGTTGCGCAAGGCGCGACAAGTACGGCAGCATGCAAGAGTGTTGTTCGAATGAGCAGGGAGGTTTGACTTAGATATACCAATCAGACCATCGCAGAACCACGGGTACTAATCGCCAGAATCATAGTAATGGTGGCGCGAGTCTCATGTACAGATCAAGAGACCCATCAGCGCCCAAAAAGCTTCTGGTTGAGAAGGTGGAGGACACCAGTTGTCGTGTATGCTTGCTTGGTGCTTACATCCTCCCCCCGAAGCTGTTTCTGAACGTTCCTCCACACCTCCGCGAGTACCGGTCTATCCGTGGCGCCGCCAATATTCATCTCGCGACTCGTTAGCTTCGCCGCTCCACCCGGTTCCCAACCCATATTACTTACTATGGATGGCACAATCGCCCAGCGCTGTAGCACCGTCCCGTCCCTCTTCATCACAAGCAGCGCCGGCTGAGCCAGGCCATGCTTATATCCTCGGAGCTGGTAAAGCTGTGAGTCGGTAATCGCCACGTCGAGCAATTCTTTCTTCTTGAGATGTTTGGCGAGCTCGTTCTCCGGGTCAACAATTACTGTGTCGGAAAAGCCTGTAGAGGCCCTGAACTTGTCGAGGTGTTCCGGCACTTCCGCCGTTGCCGCAGCGATCACACCACCGGCAGCCTTGATCTCGTCCGAGATGGCGATAAGCTGCTTGAAGTGGGCGATACAAAAGGGGCACCAGTGACCGCGGTAATCTAGTTGTGTAAGATTAAAATTTATGAGAGGCAGGATTGTAATGCGTCAATAGGTACCTAGGTACTTACAGAGGAGGAAAACGAAAGATGCGGATTGGACGAGATGGTCAAACTCTTGGACCGGTCCGGGGGTCTTGTTTGTGGACATGGTTGTGGTGAATTTGAGACTGGATCAATCCGAAATAACTTGACGGTAACTGAGCCCGAGGTGTATCAAGCCCAAAGGTAGGTCGGTCTTCTAAGTACTTATCTGTTTGGTGGTTCACATCATATCAAAGCATAGAGCAAGCGATCAGTAATCATGGTGAAACTTAACTCCGTTGCTTGGTAAATGACCCGTCATGCATGATGTGGAATCTTTGGCGAGGTGCTGTCTGGGGCAAACGCCAGTGCCGTCTTGGCGCTCGCGCCGGCGTGGCACATGAGGGAGGTATGTACATGTACCTGTCTGTACCTTGGATAATAATGTTGATGGGTATTTTTGCCAACAAATCAGAAGAATTCGAGGAATTTTAGGAAAAGAGACACTCATCCATCGATATCTCAACACATATTATTGTTATTCATACTCCGCTATGCCCTAGGGCGTGCCGGACCCTCTGCTATTTAGTGTACAGGAAAACCGTGCCCTCCCAGGCCGGGTGAAAAACCCGTACCAACAATCAAGGAGCGATGTTTTAGTGAGCCTACATATACAAAGAGAGGAGGCCTCCTGGCCTCCGAACGGGGGCGCTTCAGGCCGCCGTTTCCAGCTCGAGCCTCCTGGCTAAGCTGTACATCGGCAGCTTCCCCGTGTCCATCAGCCAGTCGAGGATCCTCCTCGCAAGCCGTGCAGTCGTGGGATTGATACCGTGTAGAATAGAGTAAAAGTCCCGTCGTGTCCGAATTTTAGTCCTCTCCCATCTTCGAGCCAACGGTGGGGCCAAACACCACACTACTAGGTGTTCGGCAGTCTCTCGTCCCTCGCCACACTCGCAGGCAGGCGTCAGAACCTCCGGGACTCCCCGTGTGAACAAGAAGTACCGTAGGTTTATTGCTCCCGTCCGGATTTGAATCAGCAGTGAGCTCTTCGCCTTGTTGAGACCGTCATGCCTCCTTAGGGTTTCGTTCCGAAATAGCGTCTCCCGCTGATGGTCAAAGTCGTCCGCCGGCCTGGTAATTGCTCTGCCGTCCCGTTCCTTTAACCACCTCGCTCTCCAGGCCTCTTCTACTACCCTGTCCGTATCAACGATTCCCCCCGTCCAGCCCATGACCGTGCCCGCGGCTCTCTCCACCGCCGTAGGCCCTTGGGGTCCCAAGGTTCGCGGTCGGCCCCTGTTGCCCCTCCTCGAGCTGAGTCTCTGCTGTATCTTGCGGCAGGCGGTCTCAACACATATTACCCGCATCGCCAATCGCGGGGCAGAATTAGATATTGGAGAGTTAGGTCGAACTATTAGAATATATACCTAGGTAATATATTGCAAGCCTGCCTATGTGGCACCTATGGTGATTGATATAGCTGTTTCTCTTCTCCAGTTCGTTTTCTCCTTTCCAGGCCACGCACAAGTACAAAGTCAACAGCTCCATGGACCTTGTTGCTCACATACATGGGGTTTTGCAGTTTTTTCCCAGTAAACAAACTGCTGGAATTCAAGTAGGTTACAGTTAAACATGGCACTTATGGCGCTTATATTGGTAACTGATGGGGGCCGTTTCGATGTTGATCCTCTAGAGAATACTATTTAATAGCAAGTTTAGAACGTAGATTTCTACTCAAACGTGAGATTATAAATATTTTGACTATAACAACACCTTAAGGCCCATATGCCAATGACCATAGTCATTGGGTTTGCCACGAAGGTGACCGAGGGCCATCGGTCCAGATACACGGCGTCCGCGGCCTACGACTAATTATACTTCAAATCACACATGTTGTCATTATATGGCCGAGGCAATCACGCGATGAACGGGCAGTTTGTATGCTATCTAGTGGTCTTTGCAGATTGCACAATGTTGATGAACTTGTACGGCTTCTACTTATTTCCCATTTTCAGTTTCGACCTCCCCAGAATATCTAACATTGATACCGGAGGACCTAGACACACCCGTCAAGTATTTTCCAAGATTCTGTGATCTTGAACAAATCCTCTGATCGACCGCAGAACGGGAGCGGCCACTCCCGCCTAGACCGGTTTGCTGTCAGTTCAAATTACCGAAAGAGGTAAGTGGCCTGGCGAGGAGGGGACCTCTGTCACCATGTGGGCCGGCCGCTTCTTTTTGCCGCCGTCGGCTTCGGCCCCGCATGCCGGGGAAAAGCACGTAGTTACGTTCAATGTTGCGTTGCTGTAGGCACGGAACCCAAAGTTTAGAGGCACGATATCGATAGAGGTAGTCGTTGCTACTTCATGAGTGAGACATAGCTTGAATGAGATACTACCCCAGCCCCGTGTCGAGTGTCGATGTCGACATCGACGTACCCGCCCTCGCCCATCGCAATCCCGAGTAGATCCAGCCAAGAGTTGCCCAAATTCCACCAATCAGATCACCATCACCCCCAAACCGAGGATACAAAATAACGACCTATCCAACTACCACCAGACTGCATGCCCGAAGCAGCGCGTGTTCTTCTTTCTCACGACGACATCATCACCAACAACCACCACCAAAATGGGCCGCCACCCCCCTCCTCGACTCGCTCCAACAAGCCCACCTCCTCCCCTCCCCCGCCATCCCCGCCGACTTCACCCCCACCTTCGACCTGACGGTCCAATTCCCCGGCTCCCGCGCCCCCATCTCCCCCGGCACGCTCGTGCGGGTTCAGCGAAGTGCGCCAAGCGCCCACCGTCACCATCACCGGCCTTCCCCTCCCCCTCCCCAGGCCCAGCATGCCCACCACCACCACCCACACCCTGCCATCTCACCCTCCTGCTCATCGACCCGGACGCGCCCACGCCCGACGACCCCAAATTCGCCTACTGGCGGCACTGGGTGGTGACAGGCATCCCGGCGCCCAGCGCCGGATCGGAGGGAGGCGGCATCGAGGGCGGGCGCACGCTGACGGGGTATTCTGGGGCCGGGCCCCAAGTGACGAGTCCGGGCCGCACCGCTATCTGTTTCTGTTGTTTGCCGAGCCGGCGGGGTCGGGGCCGTCGGGGGGGGTTGGAGAAGGGGGATTGTGGGTGGGGAGGAGTTTGTGGAGAGAAGGAGTTTTGGGGTTGAGGGGTTTGTGAAGAGGCATGGGTTGAGGTTGGTCGGGGTGCAGTGGATGAGGGGGGTGGGGGATGGGTGGAAAGGAGAGGAGTAGCCTGAGAGTTTTGGGGGGGGACATAGAGAGGTGCGGATGGGATCAATTTGAAGCATGGGAGGTATTATGGGTGGGCTGGGTCATGGTTGTTGACGGTTGTTTTGGTGGCTACCTATGGTTGTGGAGGCCGGTTGGGGAGGTTTCAGAGATGATGAACTTGTGGCATCAGAAATCCGGGTTTAGCGTATGACCATAAGTTAAATGTTTCCCATGCTGCCGACACAGCTTCAAAGGTCGCCTCGCAAATGGTTTATCTTGGTAATTTTGTGACCAGTGTCTCAAACCCAATAGTTTCGAAGCGAGACATTCTTACCGCATTTCATCGTTGGTTCCAAGTTAAATTCGCAAGTAATCCGTACATCCAAGCTTGGGGTTTAAGACCTAGTCTCCTGTGCCTACCTCCAAACCTAGCGAATATTCCCTGCCTTTGTCGTGGTCTCGTGCTCGTATCGAGGCTTCAGGCAGTAATCAACCAACCATCAATGCTACGTCTAACGAACGGCAGGAGACTGGCTGAACTAGCAACAGGGCACGAGTCTACCGACTGCCCCATCTGGCAACTGCGGTTGGGATTTGCACAAAAGACCTGGAGTAACGGCTGATCCGTGACACCGGGCCTTTTGATTGCATGAAACGGGAAGGTGCCGAGCCTTAAAGTCGGCATCGTGTGGCTGGATCAACGAATGGGGTAGCACCAGGTTGCTCGGCCCTGTCAGAGCATGACGTATCCGCATCCTGCATCGAGTGCATCAAGCCTCAATCATGGGTTGTGCCGTGGCCTTTATTAAGCCTCAGCCTGCTCCTCCAAGTTAGGCTCTAATCCGCATCTCCCGCAGCTGAGAACACAAACCCAAAGTTTGCTTTCAGCTTTCGCCGGCACTTTCATCCTCGACTTTCTGTCATGTCAACTAAGCCTCTCTCCAACACACCGTCAACAATCGTGAAGTGACGCCGGCAGCCACCGTGATGCATCGCATTTCCACGTCTCTCATCGCCTGCGTGGCCCTGTAAGCCAATCGACTTGAATGTCGCTATCAATTTCTAACAGCTTCTTTCAGTGCCTGGTCCGCTCTTTCCCAAGAGCTCGGCTCGGCTTCCATCGACTCGGTCTCGGGCTGCGCGGCCGTGGTGTCGACCACCAACGTCTGCAGCACCTGCGTGACGATGGAGTGCGTCGCACCAGCCACCATCACCGCCGGCTGCGGCAGCTGCGACGAGACGCCGCCGACCATCTACCGGTCGTTCCCGTGCGACCAGGGATGCGATAACATTGGGTGCAAGACCGTGTTTTCCGTTGAGACGGCGACCGACGGTGAATGTGAGTTGATCCGAGCCATGGCCCAGTTTTCTTCGGAACCGACGAAATTCGGTTTTGATTTTTGCAGGTTGATGCTGACGACGGCACAGGCGCATCAGGCGCGAGTCCGACGCCGACTCCAAGTCCGGACCCGAATCAGTCAACTGGCGGTGGTGGGCCAACTACTTCAGCCAGCACCGCCGGTGCCGCCCGTGCTATGCCGTTCCGTCTTTGGTAAGGTGGTAGATGATGATTTGATGGCGACGATGGAATGGAAGATGGGCCGATTGAGGGAAGGAGGAATGGAAGGATTGGGGGATGGCGGTTGGTCAACCTTCCTTCCGTTCGGTGGGTCCCACTGCCGGCAGGTGTGGGCCTCTGGGGCGTTGTGGGCTCCATTACTGGACTGTGCCTCATCTGGGAAAAAAATGACAGATCGATCCGAAAATACGACAAGTTATTTTAATCTCCCCAATTGTTTTTTCGTAGTGTAGTTGATGGATTTCTTATGGAAATAACTTGTATGGGTAGCCACAAACCATGCACAGAGTCAGAACCCTATCTGCAATTTTTGAATCCCCTCATCGATCGTTCTGGAAAGTGCCCTGCAGATAATGGGTACCTTGCCCTTGCCTTATCGAACAGGGATGATAGTGCTGACCACGTCAGAATGACTGAGCCTGAGCCTGGGCCTGGAGCGGGCACGTTTTTGGACGGTTGGAACCTGACGCCGCAGCTCCCGAACAAACTCGCAATCAAGTCTTTCTTGACTCCGACACAGCCCGAAGGCCGACAACGTCCCCCCTTCGTGGTTGCATCACTGGCACTGCTGTGCATCTTGCCGAGACTCAGATTTGGTTTTTTACACACTCATTTCATTCCGTATGTTGACAAGATTCAATCGTCGCTGCGCATTCATTCCTTTAGGCTCCAAAATGTCTGTTCGTTCCTCGCTCCTAGAAACTGTCGTCGTGTCAACTCACCCTCGGCCTCTCTGACGCTGTCACGACGACACGCACCTACCCCTCATTCACCGGCGAGACCCGAAGCCCAGGCTGGATCTGGGTCACGAAGGCGCAACAGTTGAAGCCTGAAGTCTTTGGACGGCCACAGCACATCCGACATCTGCACGGTCATTAGCGCATGTCCAGTTTCACAAGGCAAACACCGATGGACACCGCTGGATTCTCGAAGCAATCACCAAAACTACATCTCCCGCGAAGATGATATCTTCTCTTTCTCTCATCGTCTTGCCCGCCCTCGCCGTCGTGGCGGGTGCGTTCGGCACCATCAACGACCCAATTGTGCTCAAACAACACAACGAGCATGAGATGATCACCCGCCTGGCGTTCCAGTGCCCGGATGATCAGAAATCCGACGGAATCTGCTTTGAGCCCGGCTCGCTCGACCAACTCGCCGGTTATCACATCAACGTCCTGGGCATCGCTCTCACTGGTACGGGCACCAACGGGGCTGTTGGCGCCCCGGACACATTCGATCCCTTGCCCGAAGGACCCGAAGCTCATTGTGACGATGCCGACTATCTCGACATACCTGGCTACCCACAAAGCCGGGCCCAGGCAAACGCAAAGCTCCAAACTTGTGTCGATCACCTCCGCCATCGCTTCCGCCAAGCCGTAGGTGCAGCGCGGCGCATGCTGGACGAGCGAAACCGGGTACGCCGGGAAATGGTGCAGCTGTATAGCGGAGATTGCACCTTTGCGTTTCCGGGATGGCAGAGTGATGATTTTGGTCGGGCCAAATGCAGTACGCTGGAAGGGCTTGGGCGGGCTTTGCACGGTATTCAAGACTTTTATGCCCATAGCAACTGGGCCGACGATGCCGATCCAACGCAGCCTATCAGCGTGGCCAACCCGCCGGGGCTGGGAATGAACGGCACTGCTTCATTTCTCGACTTGCGTGCCAACGGAACCATCCCGCCAGACCAGATTCCTCGGAACCTCACAACCGGGTGCTTCAACTTACCCGACTTGACCTACGGCTCTGGGGCGTGCCAAGGACGCGTCACACACGGCGCCCTCAGCAAAGA